TTGAAGGTCATCACTAGAGTAATCCACAAAGAGATCAGTAGTTTTTAACCAAAGGATTGCCCTTGTCAGTATATACTCCTTTATTTCAGCAATGCTTCTCTCCTCCTGGAAAATTCTAGCATTTCTTTCCTCCCAAATGGTCCATAAGAGAGCTGCCCTAATATATTTCCACATTAACTTCCCTCTCTTGGTTGGCCATCCAAAAGTAGATGGGTCGATGAGCAGATTTACTTCAGATGGCAAGTTCCACCTGCACCCAAATAGCATAAAAACCCAAATCCATATCTCTTCAGTAAAGGAGCAAGGGATCAATAGGTGAAAACAGTCATCATTCTGCACTTTACATAAGATGCACCAGTTGGGGGACAAGCAAAAATAAGGTCTCTTCTTCTGTAGGTTATCCACAGTATTAATTTTACCATAATAAACTTCCCAACAAAACCCAACAATTTTAGGTGGAATAGGCCTTGACCAGACTTCTTTAACTGGTAACACCAAAGGGGAAGGAGTAGAACAAAGAGACTTAAAGAAGGAAGAACAAGAGAATGAGCCACTTGAATACAAAGGCCAAATTCTTCTATCTGGTTTAATAGGGTCCAAACAAACAGAAAAGAGGAATTTTGGTGTAAGAGGGTTCAAACCTCTATGGAACCCAAAATCCCAATTAAGAGACAACAAGAGAATGGGGGAAGAAAGAAACCTAGAGACAATCTCCTTTTTATAGAGGGAAATAGAAAAGAGGGAGGGGTAGAGGTCTTTTAGGGGTTTGGTTACCCACCCAGACATCTTCCCAAAAAGCACGTAATTACCATTGCAAACATCATACCGTACAAACTTGAGGAATTTTGGGAGGATGCTGAAAATTGCCTTCCAAGGTGTTGTGAGTGAGGCCCATCGAGATATCCCATCATCCCAACTAGATTCAGAACAGCCATGGATACTAGCCACCACCTCGTGCCATAGTCTCTCTCTTTCCAAAGGTCACCTCCATAGCCACTTGCTCGAAAGAGCTTCATTCCTATTAACTAGGTTCCCTAACCCTAAGCCCCTATGTTCCTTACTTTGACTCACCACCTCCCACCTAATCAATGATCATTTTTTACTTCGCCTAGCTCCAACAAGAAGTCCCTCATCATCTTTTCTATCTTCTTGGCTTCCCTAGCAGGTATCCTAAAAATAGACAGAAAGTAGATGGGTAGGTTGGCAAGTGAGGCCCTAATCAAAGTTATTCTACCCCCTAGATAGATATAGTTCTTTTTCCATGCCGCCAGCCTTTTTTCAAACTTTTCCACCACTGGACTCCAAAACCTAGTTTCCTTTGGATTTGCACCTAGGGGGAGTCCTAAATAGGTCAAAGGCCAAGCAGAAACAAGATGCTCTAAACAGGCAGCAATAGACTCTAACTCCTTTCCCTCCACATTTAGCCCCACCACACAACTCTTCTTGAAATTAATTTTCAAGTTTGAGGCATTCTCAAAGAGAATTATTAGATTCCTCAGATTTTTTACCCTCCACAAATCACATCCCTCACAAAAAATTATGATATCATCTACAAACTGAAGGTGGGTTACCGGGACTTGATTTCTCCCTAATCTCCAACCTCTTATTAGTCCAGCTTTGTCTGCTTCTAACAAAAGTCTGCTAAACGCATCAGCAACCAATGTGAAAAGGAAAGGGGACAACGGGTCACCTTGTCTCAAACCCCTACAAGCTGGGAAGAAGTCCTTTATAACCCCATTTACTAGAGCTGAGTAGTGGCAAATTTAAGACAACCACCTATCCACTTACACCATCTATCCCCAAATCTACACTTCCTAAGAACCTCTAGCAAAAACTTCCAATCCACTAAATCATTGGCCTTTTCGAGATCTAATTTGCAAACAAATCCTTGCCTACCTCATATTCTCATCTCTTCCACACTTTCATTTGCTATTAGAATCTGATCAACTATTTGTCTACCATGAACAAAGGCACCCTGAGCTTGACTAGTGAGGGGGGTAAGTGCCTTTTTAATCCTCAAAGATAAGACCTTAGCCATGATTTTATAGATGATTGTTGCCAAACTGATTGGTTTAAAATCTTTAGGATGTTTGGCTTCTTGATTCAATGGGACCAGGGCTAAGAAAGTAGCATTAAGTCCACGACTAATGACTAATTGTTCCTTAAATTCTTTGAAAACCTCCAACAAATCTCCTTTAATTATATTCCAGCTATCTTGAAAGAATGCTATAGTGAAGCCATCTGGCCCCGGTGCCTTCGATCTATCCATTGAAAAAACTGCTTGCCGGATTTCCTCCTCCTCAAAAAATAACTCTCCAACCAAGATTTTATTTCTTCAGAAAGTGTAGGCCATTCCAGTCCAACTCCACTCAGCTAGCTAGAGGTTTCCTTAAAATAGATTTGAAGTGGGCTACGAAACAATTGGTTATTTCCTCTTGAGAGTCCAATTCCACTCCATCCACTTCAAGTTTAGTCACCAAGTTTTTCCTTCTTCCATTGGCTAACTCATGAAAAAATTTGGTATACCCGTCACCTTCCTTTTCCATTTGTGCCTTGATTTCTTCATCCAAGAGATCTCTTCTCACAATAGGACCTCCTCTAACTCCTTTTTCAACCTCCATCTTAATTCTCTTTCGTGAGTAGTCATGGTTCTTTGAGATTCCTTCTCGTCCAAATCCTCTATCTGAGTCATCAAATTGGATTTCAGTTCCTCTAGTCTCCCAAAATGGTCTCTATTCTAATCTCGTAAATTCATCCTCAATCTTTTCAACTTCTTGTGAAATCTCACCCCTTTCCACTTCACCCCCCTCATCTCTTGACTCCACCACTCTTCAACCCTTTTTACAAAATCTGGGTGTGTCAGCCACATGTTTTCAAATCTGAAGGGTCTAGGTCCTCTCCTAAAAGGTTCTTGTCCTAGCTCAATGGGGCAATGGTCAGAGGTAACTCTAGGTAGAGCTTTGGATAGCAATTCTCTCTGATGATTTTTCCAACTCTCACTAAATAGGAGTCTATCCAGCTTCAAGCAATTTGGGCTTTCTTGGAAGTTGGACTAGGTAAAATGGGTTTGTGCAAGAGGAAGCTCCTTGAGCTCACTACAATTAATGAAGTCATTGAATTTTCTCATACTAGTTGTAATGAGTTGTTGGGGGTTATTTGTCTCATTAGTAAAGCGGACTACATTGAAGTTACAACCCAAACACCAAGGACCCTCCCACAACCCTTGGATTCTATATAATTTTTCCCAAAATTCATTCCTCTCCCTGTAGTTGTTTGGGCCATACACATTGGTCGACACCCATACAAAGCTATCATCCACCGATCTGAACTTTATAGACACTGAAAAGATTCCTATTAACTCCACATCTGCCTCTACAACACCCTTTCTCCACAATGTGACAATACCCCTTGAGGCCCCCCAAGAGGGTGCAGAGACCCATCTTACTCCTCTTGACTTCCAAACACTTTTGGCCCATCTTCTATCGAAATCAGCTAATTTGGTCTCCTGTAGCATCACAATATCAGACCTATTCCTTCCGAGAAGATCCTTAACTAATCTCCTTTTCCTTGCACTCCCTAAGCCCCTCACCTTCCAACTGATGATTTTCATGGAAACAGAATTTGATAACCCATCTAAGGTTCCAGGTTCCTACCTAGGAGCCTTTCTGCTTCCCCCTCTGCCACTAAACTCAATGTCTCCTTCTAGATCTGAAAGCAGCCTCTCTACCTCAGTTCTTTTACTTTTTTTTTCCTGGTTATTTCCCCCTCCCAAACTGCTTGGACAGTTTTTTAGGTTCTTATTCTCTTATGGGTTTTCCTCCACATATTCCTTCGTGTGCTTATACTCCTCAAGTAGGGTGCAGATTTGCCCCCAAATCCTCTCTAATTCCTCTTCCTGCAGCTTCTTCAAGAGCAGCTCTCCCCCCTCATTTTCACAGCCTTTGTCCACACTCTCCCCACCCATCTCCTCTCTCCACTTGTACTCCTCTAAAAGGGCACATATTAGGTTCCGGATTCTCTCTGTCTTCTGCTTTTTTCTCAAATAAAGTTCTCTCCTTTTCACCACAATCATTATCAACTCTCACACCTTCCCCTCCATTAGCTGTTCTTTCCTGTTGAGAAGCTAAGATACCTGTTCCAAGCACATAATCCACATCAGTACCATTAACCTAAAGGACAGACATACCTGGACCAGTAGGGAGAGGAAACACAGGGTCTGCAACCAACCCTTGTGTCTGAGGTAAATGTGGGAGTGTATTAGATTCTATTAGTACTGTGTTAACTGTCGCATCCAATTCCACCTTAGAAGTTTGTCCCCCAACCACTGAATCTCCGTTCTGTGAGAAGAGAGAGTCCTGTCCTTTTGATTCGAAAAAGAGAGTGTGCTGTTCTGTTGGAATGGGAATAGACTCTGGGGTAGGTGTACCTTGTTTCTCCTTTGTAAATTCTGCTAGTTTCACCACCACTTTTGGTGATCTTAGAGTCTTCGAACAATCCTCCTGGACATCTTCTAATGGGCCCAAAGCACCATCTTCTAAGAAGAGCAACTCTGTATCGAAACTTTCACCCTCTGAGAGACACCTTGACTGCCGCAGATACATAGAAGTTGTCCTTTAGAACTAGAAGCTGAGAACAAATAAAGCTCAGTTCAGAGAGCCAAGAGAGATCACATTGAATATCTTGCTTGGCTACGAGATGAGATGCTTTTATTTGCACTACAAGCAATGTATTGTACTGAAACATGTAATAATTAACTATTAATTTCCTGCAATTGGATATGATTGATCTTACAGGCCATGGTGGATTAGTTGCTTCCCACCAATAGTATTGGGGTTACTTATATAACAAGTCTCCTTCCAATATTATCGAGCTTAAATATACAATACAAATGCAGCCAATGCTTCCTTGATTTCATTATCACCAAAGACCATGAAAAATTGCACACCACATATTATCATGGAAGATCTACTTTGACAAATTCTCTCTGGTTCGGTTTGCAGGTGTGACATCCTTGACATTCTTTTTGAGATGCATCGTATTCTTCGCCCTGAAGGGGCTATTATTATAAGAGACCATGTTGATGTCATTGTGAAAGCAAAGAGCTTCATTGATCGGATGAGATGGAACAGCAAGATTGCTCATAGTGAGAAGGGGCCTTTCGATCCAGATAAGGTCCTCATTGTTGACGGTTCAGAACAATAAAAATTTGCTATCCATGCCACAAACAAAGAATTACTTGTTAGTCAACTGTTGTAAATAATAGCGAGTTCACAAAATTGAATGAAAACTTTTTTTTTTCATTTTTTCAGTAGTTGAGCAACTAAAAAGGCGAACTACGAACAAAACAGAAGTGCTTAACAAAACAGGGGTGATCTTCAGCCCAGCCCGGACCCGCATCGGGCCCACAAATTTTAGGGCCGGCTTGGGCCCATATTTCAAGCTCAACCTGAAAACAAATAAAAGTTCAAAAAATAGTTAATAAAAATATCAAAATCACACAAAAATAATGATTGGGTTGAACATGGAGGTTTCTTTCTGTTTCAATTTCACTTTAAGAAATCTCATACACACGCTAAAGCAAGTGATAAAACTCGTGAGTGAGTTTTATCAATTGTTGGCATTTTAATAGTTTGAATGTCGAGAGTTAGGATCCTCCTAGATGTTTGTTAGGGGGAGAGAGAGAGAGTAGCAAATTTAAAATCTCATAATTAAAATTAATAAAAAATATTAAAGTTAATAAAATGATAAGCTTTAGCAAGTTTTTTTATCTAACAATTATTAAAAACTAAGAAACTAATAAAAATAAAATACATATGATTTCCATTTACAAATGATGAGGGGGTGATTTGGTTTTCCGTTGACTTAGCGACACGTGGCATTCGTCTTCGTCGTTTGATACCTTGGCACCACGCGGATAGATGCGTATCTTGTTGAGTCAAGGTGATGCACCTCGGAATCAGTCCAGGGCACCTCATTTGCAGCTCGGGCACCTTGGTAGGGTGGCTAGCAGCACCTTGTCCAGGGCCGACCTGTGGTACCTCCTCGTTATTGGTTGAAGTGATCTCGACGTGGGGAGCGACCTCTCAAGAACTTGTTGACCTGATTGAGATCTAGTGGTGACCTGCGAGACGTGCTCGCCGACCTCCTCTGTGTGCATCCCGTCATTCTCAGGTCTTTCGGAAGTTAACTCTCGTACCGAATATTTTGGAGGAAGGCAAAAAAACCTATTCTGCATGCGAAATTACCCCCGAGGATTTTGGATTGGTCAGCCACGCTTTCTCGGAGATCTCGGACACGGTGCGTGGAATTTACACCAAACAATACCTATATAAAGGTCTTATTTCCACTTCAAGAGGTATGCATGATTCAACTCTTTCAATACATTAGCAATATTGCTTTCAGGTCTCTTAAAAACCTCAAATTCGCTAACTTAAGCATTGGAGTGCCCACATCAAGTAAAACACCTCGAACACTCTGATCTCTCTCTTCCTGCAATTCAACTAGATGACTTCCCTAGCCCGATGTTCGAGCTGTCCTCCAGTAAGGAATTGACAGATCGCACATCATCAACAAATAACTAATAGAACGAGCTAGTGACAACACAAATTGAGCCACCCATCAGTTGGGTGGCTTGGAATCAGCTTGACCCATGTTTATCTATATTTCTACTTAAATATCATGGGATCCTTTTGCTTTCAACTTATCATCTTTTTCCTTTTCTGTTTACAGTCAGTTTCTCAACCCAAACCCTACGAGGATTCTCCAACATGAGATCTACCTCTACACAGACACAGAGCTGCCGTGGTCTTGGTTAAATGAGCAGTAACCTGATCCACTTTTAAAACCCTACCAGACACCTGTGCTATGGATCGTACAAAATTATCATTGTAGAAGTTCACTAGGAGTTTCGGTATAACCGAAAGGCTCCCACCCCAATTCCATTCTGGTTCAGAAAAAGAAAAAGAAAATCTTTTATTCTGACTACCTCTCAAAGGCACACCCTAAGAAATTCTACTTCATCAACAAATCTGATCGACCCATGCCTTAGATCGAGCGATGTCACCACCACTGCATTCTTTTAGATGAAACGTTCTAACCAGGAATTCCCTTGATCTCACCCAAGAATGGTCGGCCATGCACGCTTTTCCCTACCAAAGCAAACTAAAGATGTTGAAGAGATTTCTCACTCTCTTCATCTATAAATTAAATAAACTAAACTGTTGGTTCTTCCCACTTCATGGACGGAACCTTAATCGGAATATCAACAATACGTGGATCTAAGCAAGCCGAAAAAGGATTCGCATTTGACGTAAGAACTGCAACGAAGCTAGGATTTTCAGGGAGCGGGTTTACCCACTATCTCTCCCGGCCATCAGGATGTTGAGTCATCATCCTTGAGCAACATTGGATGGGCTAGTTTGCTTAGTTTCAAGAAACCTGTCTAAAATATAATACACTGGTTTGATACTTCTTAGCTAATCTCTCTTTCAATCCAAATGAAAATAGGTTGAAGACATTAGCCAATGACACTAGAGAAAATATATATATATATAACACCTACTGAACTCGGAAAATTCTTAAAATTTCATGTAAGGAACCTATGATTTATGAGAAAAGACAAAAGAAGAGGATGGCCAAAACTCATGAATATTGCTAGTTAAGGGAAGTATTTGAGGATCCCCATATTGATAAGTCCTATTGACCAAAGTCGAAGGATTTAAATGTTCCTATAAGGGTTTTATATATTATAGTAGCCAAAGGAATCCTTCTAGAGAAAGGTTCCTTTTAAGGGGGCGTTCTTTTTTTTTTTTTTGATTTTGAGAGGGGGAAAGTTGGTCAATGGGATTTTGGTTCCCATTGATCAAGAATCCCATATTCTTTTTTTAGATTTATGTGGGGATCAGGGAAAGTTTATTTTCCTGTATCTCCTAGGTGGGTAAATAACTTTCCCACTTAGGGGGAAAGTTGCCAACACTTGAGTTGAACAAAAATACCCCTTTTAATAATGGATTTTTATGGCTAAAATGGTCATTGCCTTATTTACATGAGAAATAAAAGAACATGGGTAAATGCACTTATCCGGGTAAGTGTTTCCTAGGAAAAACTTATTCAGGTAACTGCATTTACCTAGGTAAGTAATTTACCGGAAAGCGAACGGGGCCTAATTGTATTTCTGGCATGGAACTACTTTTATTGTATTGCATCAGGACTCTCATGCCCTTCAATTTGCCTTATGCATGTCATCATGAGGCACATGTCACAAGCAACTTTAAGTATGTGTTTGGCATCGATGTCGTTGCTTAATAGCCATTTTCTGAGAAAACGGTGCTATATGAATGAGGGTCTGTTGCACCATTCTCAAAAAATGCATCATTTTTTTTTTGTTTGGCATTGATGCTGCCACATAGTATGTTTTTTAGGGAAACAACACTGGTTTTGTTTGATACCGTGTTGTATAATTGTTTTCAGCATTGGTCTACATTATCCTAGGGGTGTCAATGGACTGGTTTTGGATTAGATCCCATCAGATCCAAACCTTTTCAAATCAGATTCGTATAGTCCATTATAATTATTGGATTGGGCCAATCCAAAATAAATTGGTCCATATTCTTGTCGGTCTAAATCAAACATAAACCAAATTCCCAATAATCCGATCATGAGGCCAAATCTTATCCAATTTGAAACCGATCAAAATTGAAGCTACCAAAAAAGCACTTTTACGAAAGCACTTTTACAAAAATAATTTTATGAAAAGTACTTTTACAAAAGTACTTTTATGAAACACTTTTACAAAAGTACTTTTGCAAAAACATTTTTGTAAATGTACTTTTATAAAATCGCTTTTATGAAAGTACTTTTACAAAAGCACTTTTATGAACTGAAGTACTTTTATGAAAGCACTTTTACAAAGTACTTCTATTCATTCACTTTGGATTGGATTGGATCCAATCCGATCTGTTTGCATTTTAATTGGACTAGATTGGATTGCAGTAGGTGTTGTAGTTTTTTTATATATTTTTTGGATTTCTCATTATTTTGGTGTTTGATTCAATTTGGATTGGATTGAACCAAATCTGGTCCATTTGCATTTTATTTGGATTGGATTGGACTTGGTTTGTATGGATTTGGTCCAATCCATTTGTAAATGGACCAAATCCAGTTTAATTGTCAGTCCTACATTATCTAATGCTTTAAATGATGCCACATTGGTGCCACATCATTGTACTGTTAGCAGCAACGGGTTGGAACCTCAGAAAACATTGAATTTAAAGTTTTCTTAGACCATGCATTCCCGGTTTCCAAGGCATGGTCTAGGGCAACATTTTTCTGAAAAAACAAGCCAAACATGAGGCCTTTTTATGGGACAATGTTTTTTTTTTTTCTGACGTGATGCCATTTTCTAGGGCAACAACATCGATGTGAGGTAGTACAACTCCTTTACCCTATGGAATGATTTTGGTTGATTTATTCACTTTTTTGGGGGGAAACTTGAAAATGGGCCAAATGTTGGTATTGAGGATTACAAAATCATCAATACTAGAGCCTTCAAAAACATTCATAAGGACACAAGGGGAATTTGCATGGTTTTTAAAAACGATCCGGAGATTGAACCGGTTAGGGTCCGGTTATCGGGTCGAATGGTCAGCCTATTCTGATAAAAAAATTAAAAAAAGGTCAAAACCGTTCGAACGATTAACTGCCTGGATTAGTGATTTGCTGACCAAAATCAACAGTTTTGGACAAATTTTTGGTTTTGAAAACCATGGGAATTTGGGTCGACAATGAAAGTGAAGTGTCTTGGAGAAAACGAGGAATATAGTGATCCCACACACGTCAAGGCAACCAATTTGAGGACTTCATTGGCTTTTGTAGGGATCATATGTTGTTCTATGATTCTATCCCTAGATATAAACATGAAAGATTCTTTCCCATAGATATTTCATCCTCCTCCAACCCTTCAACCTCCCTACTGATGGACACTCTTACCCAATATCTGGACACCGTATCCGGTAGCATCATTGAGGATTTGAGGCACAACAGAGGGTTATAGAACTGGACAACAATATTGCAACTTATTAAGAAATGGTGAACTCTAGGCTGAAAATCATGAAAACTCAAATAGAAGCCATTTATGACAATGAACTTCAAGATACTCACTCCATCGGTTTGCTTCAATCCAAGATCTTAGAGTTCCATGCCATGTAGCAAAGGATTATACCTCTCATATTCAATCTTGGTAGATTAAGTGGTTGAAAAGAGCAAATCAAGGTTAGGAAGGAGGTAGAGAAGGAAAGGCAAGAATTTGAGGCCTTTAAAGGAGAATGTAGAGCTTGATAGAGGAGCTAGTTATTATTATTGTGCCAAAATTAGAGAGTGTTATTAGGTGTCCTAGATAACTTTATTTGTTAAAAAACTTAATTTTCTTAAGGAATAGTGTGCTTTATATTCCTATAATCTTTACTTTATTTGTTTATTCTTGTTATTTGATTGCATTAATTTCTGTTGCATTTGCATAGCACACACAATCTTTATTTTATTTTATTTTATTTTATTTTTGCATTTATCATTCTACAAATGGTTTAGAAGGGGGAAGTTTCTATTACCCAATTCATCCCCTCTTGAGCTAGGCTATCAAGGGAAAACTTGTTTTTGTATTTAGAAGTAGACAAATGTATGTTTTGTTTATATTGCACCTGGGTTTTGAAAACTTCTTGCAGCATGGTGTTTACCTTTGAGGACATCACCTTTAAGCTTAAAATTTTTGACACATATAGATGGATACAAATGTATACTAAAATATAAAAACTTGCAACAGAAAATCTATACATACATACATTTGATTTACAGTTAGAATTGGAATCGGAATCAGAATCAGAATCGGAATCAAAATGGTCTATTCCCTTCACGGCTTCACCTATTTGGTTCAGTCTTGAATCAGAATCAGAATTGGATGAAAATGATTCTCATTCCTAGGGGAGAGGGAGGGAATGACCATTCCCTTATATGGGGGAATGCCATTCCTCTAGGAATGAGAATGGGATTCTAATTCCGAATCCCTATTCCCATAAACCAAACAAACCCTAAATATATACACAAGTATTTATGCAACATTTATACATACAAATATGAAGTTAAGTTGAGTTCGAGTTGGGTCGGGTTGATCAAGCTCTCAACCCTAACCCAACCTGAAAGTTGATCTAAACCCTAACCCAAACTTCAACCCAACTCAACATTTTTTCCTCGAGTTGGGAGCCGGCTAATTAACCTGGCCCAAGTTGCAGCCCTACTCTTTACTTTCTTAAGGTAAAAAGGGTGAAGTGAAATAAAGAGAAATGTTTATATTCTTTTTGGGGTATTTTAGTAAATGTACATTTGAATGAAATTAATCAAAGGGTAAGTCTGATACTTTAAAAAGTTTAATTCATTAAATCAACATTTTTCAAATAAAAAATCAATGAAAACTCGAAAAGGAGGCATTTGTACCTTTTTTTTCAAAACGATTGTGGAGGTTTTTTGTTAGGGTTAAAACATAGGGGTACATTGAATTATCATAAAACCCAGGGAGGTTTTTATAATTTTTTTAACAAAATAGAATAAAATCTGGATTGTTTAGTATTGATAGGGGTTTCCGTTTTTTTATTTTTTTTTACTTCAGTTCAGAGTAGAGATCGCACACTTCTCAATCACTTTGTATGTGTTTGGTTTTGTGAGTGTTTATGGATGAGGTGTTTCTCATATAAAAATTTAATTGAAAAACATTACTCGTGCGATGCACGAGATTTATCAACAAAAGTGAAATAACCAATACTTATAACCAAGGAAAGAATGTAATGTTGTTTAAAATAATTCAATCTTTATTTTAATAATTTATTACAAAAATGTTTTAGTAATTTAGTAATTTGGATTAATTATATTAACAGTTTTTAGCGAAAAAATAATAATTATTGCTAATTACTTAATAAAATAGTTTCAAATTTTTGTAAATATCACTTAAATATTTAAATAATTAAATATTAGTAAATATATAAAATGAGGCTATAGTCATAATTAAATTAATCTATATTTAACTTTTTTAGTCATAAACTAAATTAATCTAAGCCCAAACTCAAGGTTTAAGACTTGGGATTAGGCTTGGATTGATCCTCATCCTAACCCAATCGACCCAAGTTGCATGCATCATAACATTTGTAATTGGACTGGACCAAGGTCACCAAACCAAGTGCAACCCATGCATGCATTATTTTTAGTTTTTTAACTATTTTTAGATAATATTGAAGCCAAAGGAACTGTGAGGGATGGGCCACCCACATTGTGTAGCCTGATTAACCAAAAAATTAAAAATTGTGGGCTACATTTTGATAGTGTATTAGCAATTTTTAAGATTGCTTGGCCTAACCCAGGCCACACCTTAAGTGTAATAATATTTGTATAGACTTACAAAATTGCCCTTGTTAATTATAAAACTATGGTTTTTTTTTATAAATTAAAATTTTTATTTGATTCTAGTCTAGTATAAAAAATATATAACATTTCTATATATATTAATATAAAATTTGTTATCTAAATATTATATAATAATATTTACCATATATGCATATAACTTTCAAGTTGAGCTTATTAGGGGTTGTTTAGCTTGGGCCCTATCCGTTGAAGCTATCATTGGACTCCAAAAGTTTGATACCCAATTAGACTTTGAATCTGATTATCTCTGATAATATGTGGGCTTGGTGCATATCTCAACTAAAACCTAACTCAAAAAGAAAATAACTGCTGAGCTTGGAAATTTATAGATCTAATCAGGTTAGGTTAAGTTATAAACGACTTGTTACTTTTTATTATTAATTTTAATTATCCTATCAATACAATTATTAATATTGTTTTTAATAAAATTAAATTTATTAAAATACTATTAATTTTTAAAAATACTATAATTATTAAAATATTGTAATTATCAAATTACTGTATTTATTTAAAATACAACAATTTCTGGAAATTATCATATTTTTAGAAATATTGCTAATTTCTTGGATAAAACTAATTAAATGTAAATTTCTGGTAATTAAATATAACTTTTTTGGTAATTAAATGTAATTTTCTACTATTTATAGCTTAAATTATAATTACTATTAATTACAGTTTAAAAATAATTATTGTTGATTATATTACTGTTAATAATTAAAATACATTATTTTTTCATTATTATTCAGTATTTTTTTCAATAAAATATAATTAATTAAATCTTTTAATTATTTTTAGTATTTTAAATAAGTTTTAGGTTTTTTCAGAATTTTCAGATTTTTAATTAATTTTTGGTATTTTTTCAATATTATTCAGTAATTTTTTTGCATATGAGTATTTTTCAATAATTTTCCGTATTTTCAGCATTTATTTTTGCATAGTTGTCACTACAAAGTTAATTTGTATTTTCTTTCAGTAAAAATAAATTGAATAACTAAATAAATACCATAGTAAATAAAAAATACAGCTAATTTTCAATAATTTATGGCTTGGGTACTTTTTAATAATAAAATACTATTAATTGTACTTCTTAATTATTTTTAGTAAATACCCTTATTTTCAATTTTTTTAATTATGTTTAGGTTTTTTAAAATTTTTTGGTTTCGTAATTAATTATTGGTATTTTTTTCATTATTGTTCAGTAATTTTTGCCTATGAGTAATTTTTGCAATAAAATACTATTAATAAAACGAGTTCTGCATTTTAAATTTTTATTAATTTTTATCATTTTAATGAGTTCATTATGCACAATAAAGGTCTCGACTCATAAAAATTATTAATTAATTAAAAATGCATTAATACAAAGTTCTCTAATAATATCATTAAAACTATCAATTAATATTTTTATATTTAAATTTCTTATTTTTATTTAATTCTTGGTATTTTTTCATTATTATTCAGTAATTTTTGCAATAAAATATTTTTAATAAAACGGGTTCTGCATTTTAAATTTTCATTAATTTTTATCATTTTTAATGAGTTCATTATGCATAATCAAACTTAGTGTTTATTAAGTGGAATTGAAACACATTTTTAATATTTATCAAGTTTTGTTAATATTTATTTTAAGTGAAAGCTTGGTGAAATAATAACATGAGGTTTTGAAAAAAGTAGAATTATCTCTCTCTTAAATTTAATAATAATATTCATTAAAATAAGAGACTTTAAAAAATCCATATCTCTATAATAGTGTATAACTTTATTGATTCAATTAAAATAACATCCAATTTTATTTTATAACTTCTCTTCCACCTCAACTTAACTTTTTTTGGTTGGGCATTTCAAATAATACTCCCATAAAATTATCTTCCACTTCAGCTTACAAAATTCCTGCTAAGCATTTCATTTCAATAAACTTGAGGCATTGCCGCATTGGAAGAAAACAGAATTTGATATTTCCCCAACGCCTTGATCAATGGTTCCATGCACAATAATCGCCGATGGCTAAGTGTCACTGATGTGCGGCGTTTTTCCTGTAAAAGCCCACGGAACCAAATATTTATGCGTTGAGCTGACGTGGGGTATTGATATTTCGAGTGATTATAGGTCTGCAGTGGGATTCAGAATGCAATGGGCCTGTCCGTACTTCTCCGATTTCTGTTGTCTAACACAACCATCCTAGTGCAGCACGTCCGGACTTCTCCCTGCACATCTCTCGGGCTCTCTCGCAAGTCGCACCACGCCAACTCAACGGCCTGCACCCCGCTCCCCCCCTCTCTCTTTCTCCTTCCCGTCGGCAAACTTTCTCTCAGATAATGCCTGAAATAACAAGGGTTATCCAACTACCAGTCTGAGAAAAGGAAAAAGCGTGAAGGAGCAACCACCCGTCACCATTCGAAGGATTCTGCTTTGGAATTCTCAGTTTTAAAGAAGGTTTTGGTTTTCCACCTCCCTACTCTGTAAGTCATATGCTTTTATTTCTTAATATCATTGAAATTAGTGGTTTTCCTTTCCTGTGCTTAAAATGGTGTGATTTCTTCCAAGTTGCCTCATAATCTGGTAGATACAATTCGCTTTATTATTTATAGTTGTATAACACTGCAAACTGTTACTGGACTCTGTGTAGGTAAAAAGAGATATGACTGACATTCTCTGATTGGGGAACGACAGGAAGAGCACTACTTAACTGAATATGTGCATCCATTTACAGGTGCAGAGTTTCTACTTGCACATATTCACTAATTAGTGAGGTGAATGCGCTTCTCACTTGTTGACTTGCAAATTGGTGTTGAAGTTGCGTCATGTGAAGCTTTTTTTCTTTTGTTGTCGTAAGTGTAAATATGTTTGACAAAAAGATCCAATAAACTATTGGTTAATCTTTTTAATTTAGTATTTTGAAAATACAAAAACAAAATATTTTGTACAAAAACCTTCCTGGATGTCGTAGCAATGAATTAAGCATGAAAAAAAAATACTTCTGTTATTTTTTTTGCCTTCATACTCTAGAATGGATTGCTATATGCTCAAATTTGGATTTAGATCTTGGGCGGCTCCTTTTTTAGCTTCTGTATTTGATCGCATCTTCTTTCCCAGTTGGATGATACTCCCTCCACTTATGACAAATGGAACAAAGTAGCATGTCGTGATGATTTGATTGAAAACGAACGAGCATATTGTGTTAAGCCGCAAGTCAAAAAACTGTCAGTTACTTGATGTCTTCCGTTTAGGTTTATCTTTTTCTTGGTATTTGAATGTTATTTTGTATTTTTATTTTGTGTGTAGGATCTCAGTTTTACTGGAAGTGAGAAATGGTGGAGGGAAATAGAAGGAGATCAAATGCTCTTTTGTCCATTAGTTTAAGGAGTTTTTGTGGAGTTTAATTATTGGGTTGTGATCCAATGGGTCCTATATTGCTTCCTAAACATGTAGCAGCCGTCATTAAATATCAGAAAGATCCAATGAAGGCACTAGAAATGTTTAAAGCAGCTACTAATGAAGATGGGTTCAAGCATACCTTGTTCACCTACAGGTGTATGATAGAAAAGCTTGGTTTTCATGGGGAGTTTGAGGCTATGGAGGATGTTCTGTCTGATGTGAGGATGGACATTGACAATAGTTTATTAGAAGAAGTGTATATAGGGGCTATGAGAAATTATGGGAGGAGTGGGAAGATCCAAGAAGCTGTGGACACTTTTGAGAGAATGGATTTCTTCAATTGTGACCCATCTGTTCGTTCTTATAATGTAATCATGAATATCTTGGTTGAAAACAGCTATTTTGATCAAGCCCACAAAGTCTATTTGAGAATGTTAGACAAAGGGATTGCTCCCGATGTGCACACTTTTACTATAAGGATAAAATCGTTTTGTAGAACAAGTCGGCCTCATGCTGCTTTGAGGCTTCTCAAAAACATGCCTGCTCAAGGGTGTGAACTCAATGCGGTTGCATACTGTACAGTGATTGCAGGATTTTACAAAGAGGACTATCGAATTGAGGCATATGAGTTGTTTAATGAAATGCTTAGCAGAAGATTTTGTCCAGACATCACAACATTTAATAAGCTTATACACATACTTTGTAGTAGGGGGGATGTCCAAGAAAGCTGGAAACTTCTCAGCAAGCTTCTAAAGAGGGGAGTTTCTCCCAACTTATTTACAATCAACATATTTATTCGAGGCCTTTGCAAAGAGAGCAAGCTCAATGAGGCTGCTTGTTTATTGGATTCTATGGGTACACAAGGAATTACCCCTGATGTTGTCACATATAATACGCTTATATGTGGCTTGTGTAAGAGCTTTAAGGTTGCAGAGGCCGAGAATTATCTACACAAAATGGTAAATGAAGGGTACTGGCCTGACGATTTCACATATAACACCATCATTAATGGATACTGCAAATTGGGCATGGTAGAAAAAGCATATAAGATACTCAAAGATGCAGTTTTCAAGGGGTTTGTGCCTGATGAGGTTACATATTGTTCCCTTATTAATGGGTTATGTCAGGAGGGTGATATTGATAGAGCAATGAATGTTTTTAATGAGGCAACGGGAAAAGGATTGAAGCATAGTGTTATCATCTATAACTCTCTAGTCAAGGGTTTGTGTCAACAAGGACTTATGTTGCAGGCCTTGCAGCTGATGAATGAGATGTTAGCAAATGGTAGCAGTCCAGATATATGGACATACAATATAGTCATAAATGGGTTGTCTAAAATGGGATATGTTTCTGATGCTAAGAGGCTCATGGATAATGCTTTACTTAAAGGGCACCTTCCAGATGTTTTCACTTTTAATATATTGATTGATGGCTACTGTAAGCAGTTGAAGTTAGAGAATGCCATGGAGATAGTTGATAGGATGTGGGAACATGGTGTTACTCCTGATGTTATCACTTACAATTCTGTATTGAATGGCCTCTGTAAGGCCGGAAAGGTTGAATATGTTCTGGAAATATTCAACGAAATGGTTGGGAAGGGTTGCATTCCAAATATTATCACATATAACATACTTATAGAGAGCCTCTGCAAGGTTCAGAAAATAAAAGAAGCCCTTGATTTATTTGAAAAGATTGAGAACATGGGGTTAACTCCAGATGTTGTTACTTTTGGCACACTTGTTCATGGTTTTTGTAAAAGCGGTGATCTTGATGGAGCGTATCAAATGTTTAGAAGAATGGAGCAACAAATTCACATCTCGACTATGGTTCCAACATACAATATAATGATCAGTGCATATGCAGAGAATCTCAACATCCATATGGCAGAGAAGCTCTTTAATGAGATGGGTGCAAAAGGTTGCTTGCCTGATTGTTTCACTTACAGTGTCCTGATTGATGGTTTCTGTAAAACAGGAAATACTGATTCAGGGTATATGTTTCTTTTGGACATGCTTGATAAGGGGTTTGTTCCATCTTTGACAACTTTTGGACGAGTAATTAACTGTGTATGTATGAACCATAGAGTTGATAAGGCAGTTTATATCATTAACCTTATGGTGGGCAAGGGTATAGTCCCTGAGATTGTGAACACGATATTTGAGTCTGATAAAAAGATGGTAGCAGCACCAAAGATCCTTGTAGAGGACTTGCTAAAGAAAGGTTATATAACTTATTATGCATATGAACTTCTTTATGATGGAATTAGAGATAAGAAGCTACTAAGGAAAAGCAGAAAAGAACAGTCATAAGATTCTTGGATGAGACTAGTTGTTTGGTAAATTAACATCTTGGTTGTAAAAAAAAAAAAGATATTTGTGCCTGAGAGGGTGGGAATTCTGATAATGTAAACTATCAGATTGGGCATCTAAAGGCATCCTTAAAAGAAGTTAGTACAAAAAGCATTGTATTTCCGAGTTACACTGTTGCTTTTAGGTGTTATATTATATTCTGCATGTTATCTTGCATGAGTGAAACCCTTTGTGTTTTTGATGTTTCAGGTTCAAATAGCTGTCTGTTGATTGTGTGGAGATTCTAGAGGTACTATTTATTTTTAAAAATGAATCATATCTGTGTCTGAAGACGGAATTTACGAGTCTTATAAATATGATATTGTAGGCAGCTTTATTGATAAAAAAAAAATATTGTAGGCAGCTTTTCTTTCTCTTGTACCACACAAGTCTTCCTTTGAGTTCTTCCCTATTCTGTTATGCATGGTGAGATTGCATTAAGGTATAATCAGTATAATTTATGCCAAGAGTTGTTTAGCATCAGAGTCATCATATCAAATGGTATAACTGTTTTTTCTCCTTTCCTTTTAATGGTTTAATTGTGCCAAACATGGTTAGACATCATGAACATCGTGAGAATACATTTAACATTGGGTGTTTCCATCCTTTATGTTTTGTTTTATAACCAACTGCTCGCTGACCATTCAACAGGCAAAGCCTAATTGGTTAATTTGATCCATTGTTACTAAGAGCAAAAGCAAGATGGTCCTTCCCTGTTAAGGCTGAAAGTGACAGATAAGGCAGGGTTAAGTGGTGTGGTGTTGAAATAAAGATTGTAAGCCGGAATGTTAGAGGGCTGGGGAGAGCAGCAAAAAGAAGGTTCATAAAGGAAGTGTTAAGGAGAGAAAAGCCAGATGTGGTGATGCTATAGGAATCAAAGGCACAAGAGATTGATAGAAGGTGGGTAAGGAGTGTTTGGGGAGGTAGAGGCATTGGATGGGCCATGGCCCCATCGTGTGGTGCCTTAGGAGGGATAGTCACTCTTTGGAATGAGGAGACGGTGGAATGCGTGGAGGATTTAATAGGAAGGTTCTTAGTGTCGGTAAAGTTGCGGAACTTAAATGATAATTTTAATTGGATTTTAACAAATGTCTATGGGCCTAACTCGTATAGGGAAAGAAATGAGATGTGGGAAGAATTGATAGATGTGAGAGGCTTATGGCAAGGTCCATGGTGCTTGGGGGGTGATTTTAATGTGATCAGACATTGCTGAATCGAATAATCCAAGGCAAAGGGTGACCACCAGCATGAGGAGATTTAATAGTTTTATAGACACATTTGAACTGAAGGAAATTGGGATTGGACAAAGCAGTTACACTTGGACTAATTGTCAGGAGAAACTGATCTGCTCAAAGTTGGATAGGTTTCTTCTTTCTTAGGACTAGGACGAACATTGGATTAATATGGTAGGCAAGATCTTACCCAGGATCACCTTAGATCATTGGCTGATATGTATCGGACAAGGGGTAGACGGAGAGGGGCCGAGGCCCTTTGGATTTGAGAACATGTGGTTAACGGTCCTGGAGTTTGTGCAAAAGATCAAGAAGTGGTGGGAGGAAGATGACCCCCAGGTCGACTGGGAAGGGATTAGATTCCATCAGAAGCTTCAGAACCTAAAAGAAAAAAAACAAGGAACAGAATCTCAATAAATTTGGGAGAATAGAAGAGAGGAAGGCAAATCTGACAAGCAGAATTGAAGAGATAAATAAAAAGGAGGAATCGGGATCATTGGAAGTAGGGGAAAAAGATGAGAGATTTAACTTGAGAAGAGAGCTGGAATCTACACTCCTAAGAGAAAAAATGACTTGGAGGCAGAAATCAAGAGTGCGTTGGATCAAAGAAAGGGATGGGAATACAAAATACTTTCACATGATTGCAAACGGGAGGAAAAGAAAGGACCTGATCTCTATGTCAGAATTGGAGGATCGCACAATAACTAACCATGATGAGATTGCAAAGGTGATGTAGGACCAGCTCAGTTCTAGTCCTTAGAGAATGTGAATGGTCTTCTTGATCAAAGTTTTATGGCTGTTGATGGCTGTAATGGCTTCTTGAAGGAATAAAATAGAAAATAGGGAGAGAAAGAAGAGAGAAAATACCTGGAATCACTCACAGGGTGCCTAGAATCACAATAGGACATGGGAATCACTCACCATAGCTAGCATAAGCTGAAGAAAACTCAATATAATTCATTGCCTTTGTGTAAAACGCCCATACATATTTATGGACTCTAAACTCATAATAGTCTTAGGAGTCAAACTGTTAGACTCAATAATCCTTGTAGCAAGGTTCAAAGTATCGATACGATACGAGTTTCGGCCGTATCGTATCAGCACTTAGAAACGGCCGAAACTCTATCTTTTTTAGTTTTTTTTTTTTTCAAAGTTTGGTTTTTTGGAAAGCTTATAACCTGTTTTTATTATTAAAAAAAATTGGGGGTCCGAAGCACTTGGAAACTGTATCAATTTCAAAAGATACGATACAATATGCCCGATACTGGGCGTACCGGGCGTATCGTATCGATACTTTGAACCATGCCTATTTGGACTCAAACTAAGCTGTCATATCCTATTTCAATTCAAAGAACACTCAATAACTCTAATCCTACTTATGCAATGACTCTGAAATTTTAAACATAAACAAACTATAACAAGACAATAAAGCCCTATTATTGGACCCCACAAAAAATTGCTAAAATGACAAAAATGCCCCTGCTGTCAAAAAATACAGAAATACATAAAATTTCATAAAATTCCAGTTTTGCCTCTTCAGCTCCTGCATCATTCTCCCCCATTTCAAAAAAACTCGTCCTCGAGTTTTGAAGAATGAGGATGAAAAGTTGATATGCCCCAATTACAAATGGAGTAGGACTTCCCACAGCTACATGCTTGGATTGTAGAGTAGAGGCCACACACAGAACTAGAAAAGGATCTTGAAAGAAACGTATTTCTGAAAGACTGTCTTCCATAACCATATTTGTTAAATCATCAATAACATTACTTTCTTGAACACTTAACTCATCAACCAGCGATTGTGATGAATCTTCCCCTCGCTTATCCAAACTCTCAACTGCAACATTTGAAACTTTTCCTTCAACCTCTAGCTTAGGAATCACCATATCTATGAGTTCTTCTATCCTTGGTTCTTCAACAAACTCTAGGACTCCTTCCATCGTTGATGTTGGTGGATCTTGTGCTATGTCAGGTTGTAATTCTTGAATTGGTTCTAGTTGAACTTGAAAGGTAAAATCACTTACTTCCATACTAGGATCTACTACAATCAACACATTTGTATCTTGCACCTGAATTTCTTTAACTTGCTCTTCTTCTATTTCTTCTTAATCATTAACCTCAAGCTGATCATGGGTGTTGGAAACTCCAGCAATTTCTATTTTTTCTTCGCCTGCACCCTCTTGATTTTTAATATCTACAACTTCTATAGGTTGAAATTCTTCTTCTTTAGGTTCATCCTCAACTTCAGCTCTAGGATGGACATCAACATGTAAGGAATCATCTACTTTCCTTTCAACTTTATACCTTCTTCCCCTTGACTTCAAGTTCTTTGTTGTAACCTGTTGTTTCTTCTTTTGCTTGAAATTAGTCAACTCCATATATAGATCATCATGGAAGTCTAGTGGGATGTACTTTTCTTGCAAACACCTCTTCATCTCAGCCCATGTACTAATTGGATTATCACCTCTATTTTCTAGTCGTTGCTCAAGAGTTCTCCACCATACTTTTGCATGACCCGTCAGCTTTATGCGCGCAAATCTAATCCTTTGTTTGTCAAACATATCATGCCTATCAAAATATTCTTCTAGTTCAGTAACCCAATCAAGAATGCTTGCGGATCATCATCTCCTTTGAAATTTGATATTTCCCTTTCTCTTCTAACATGTTTGAAAACCTTGCTCTCGTAGCCAACATTATTAGATCTGTTTTCTTCCACCATCTTCTCAAATAAGTCAACCAAAGACCGTTCATATGGTTCAGAAACCCAATCATAATTGATTCTAGACCTGTAAGATTGTCTAGAAGATACCTTGGGCCTATAGAATGTTGAATGATCTTCTTGATCAAAGTTTTATGGCTGTTGATGGCTGTAATGGCTTCTTGAAGGAATAAAAGAGAAAATAGGGAGAGAAAGAAGAGAGAAAATACTTGGAATCACTCACAGGGTGCCTAGAATCACTCTAGGGCAAGGGAGTCACTCACCATAGCTAGCTAGCATTAGCTGAAGAAAACTCAATATAATTCATTGCCTTTGTGTAAAACGTCCATACATATTTATAGACTCTAAACTCATAATAATCCTAGGAGTCAAACTGTTAGACTCATAATAGTCTTAGGAGTCAAACTGTTAGACTCAATAATCCTAGTAAGACTCAAACTAAGCTGCCATACCCTATTATTGGACCCCACAAACAATTGCAAAAATGACAAAAATACCCCTACTGTCCAAAAATGCAGAAATACATAAAATTTCATAAAATTCCAATTTTGCCTCTTCAGCTCCTGCATCAAAAGGCCTTGGTGGATGGAAGTTAGAAGGTTTAGATTGGCCAGTCCTTGAAGATGTCATTAGTAGGAACTTGGAGAGAAAATTTGAGGTGGATAAGGTGAAGGAAGCAATATTTTCTATGGATCGCTCCAAGGCACCCATGCCCGATGGCTTTACTATGGCTTTCTACCAGGACTAGTGGGAGTGGTTAAAGGACAATTTAATGTAAATCTTTGAGGAGTTCTATTACAAGGGGATTGTCAGCAGGGGGTAAATGCTACTTTTATTGTGTTGATTCCAAAAAAGTCTGGTGCTTGCCATCCCAAGGACTTCAGGCCCATCAGTTTGGTGACAAGTCGGTACAAAATCCTTGCAAAAGTCCTCTCCATTTGGTTAAAAAATGCCCTCCCATCAATCATCTCTCAATTCCAAGGGGATTTCATCCAAGATAGACAAATATTGGATCAAATACTCATTGCCAATGAATGTGTAGAGGAATTCAAGAAATCTGGAAGGAAGGGCATTGTGTGTAAGTTGGATCTAGAGAAAGCCTATGACTTTATGGGCTGGGAATTCTTAATTGAGGCGATAAGGAAGTGTGGTTTTGGAGTAAGATGGTGCAAATGGATTAAAGGATGCTTGAAATCTTCTCACTTCTCAGTATTGGTAAATGGAGCAGCCAAGGACTTTTTTGGTGCCCTAAGGGGAGTGAGACAAGGGGATCCATTCTCCCCCTTCCTTTTTACCATCTTAGCAGAGGTCTTTAGCAGTTGATCTCGAAGGCAGATGAGGTTGGTCTATTAAAGGGATGGAGAATAGGGAGAGAGTGGTGGTAACTCACCTACAATTTGCAGATGACATCATTATCTTTTGTGAGAATGGAGGTAAGTTAGGGGCAAGAAACCTAAGGTTGTTGGTGAACCTTTTTGAAAAAGTGACAAATCTAAAGGTGAACCTCAATAAAAGTTTGATGGTAGGGATCGATTTAGCTCAAGAAGAGGTTAACCTATGGGCTGGGGAGCTAGGCTGTTTAAGAAGTGATTGGCCACTGAAATATTTAGGTCTCCCCCTCGGGGAAAATTCTAGAAATTTAGATTTTTGGAACCCGGTAGTGGAAAGGTCTGAAAAGAAGTTGGCTGCGTGGAAGATGATTTATGTTTCTTTGGGGGGTAGGATTACTCTCATTAAGTCTACCCTAGCAAACCTTCCAGATATGGATGCACCATATCTGTTTAATGAAGAATGGGAAAACATTGGACGCACCATTCCCTCTCAACAATCAGTTACCCACACCAAACCAGTTTTACTTAGTGGACAGATTTCTTGCTTTCTCTACCCACACCCTACCCATGGTACATTGCAGCCGCACATCTCACAATACAAGATGGCGATGTGTGGCTGCAATTCAAGGTGGGTAGGAAATCCAATTTGTTTTTCTCAAATATAAACTCGTTCTTCTCTCTCTCTATGCTCCTCCCTCAAATGAAGAATATTTTCTTTCTAAAAACCCAAGCTATTGTTCTTTGTTATGTTTTTGCACTATTAAAAATCATTTCTTACTAATATTACATTCATGAGTTCTCGTTACCTACTATTTTATAATCTTTTCTATAATGTTAGCTTGTCTGTTTATTCCATGATTGTTCTATTTCAAGGTAATGAACATGGAATTACAAAAACAAGTGCATCATGGACGAACAAATGGTATTATTGTCTTCTCAGAAACATGGCTTAGTTTGTTAAACAATTTCTTTTTATTTTTAATTGCAATTGTTGTATATGGCTAATGATTAAGTAGTAAATGAGATGGTGGTGTTGTTGTATATTGCAATTGTTTTGAACTGAGCGGGGAATAATGGCAAAGTTAATGTTTGAGAGCTGGGACAGAATACCTATGTGAAGGGCATTTATGGTTACCAACTCTGTTTGGTTGAGAGATCAATATTTGGTGCATTAGGGGATTTAGCTTCTAATAGATATTATCAGTATTAAATTGGGAATGCCTACTGTTGTCTAATAATAGAAGTATAGCAACCGTAGAGAGGCACTTCAAACTTGCAGCTTTGCTTGGTACTGCCAAAGACTCTTTTGGGCGCTGCCATGCCCATTCAAACTAATAAAAGTAATAAGGTTAAGTTAATATAGTATGTATTTGGTTCGTGGGCATTTATTGAGGCGGTGTTTATGGGATAAGTGTTTTTCTCAAAAACGTTACTTTAAACGTTTTTTGCTTTTGTTGTTTGATTGGATGTTTTATGAGTGTTTCAAGTAACACCTCATAAAGTTCCTTTCCACCCCAGCAATAATAAACGTTTCTTGTTGTTTGACTGTTTGATGGGGCATTTCAAGAAGCAACTGTATGAATGATTCAGTGTGACATTTTTTCTTGATATCTGAGTGCCATTGAGATGATCCAACGGTCCAAATTACTCATACTTGCCTATAGTGTCTGATTTGAAGATCCAACAGTGGATCTTGTATGCAAATTACATCTGATGGTCAAAATCACTCATATAGGTCATCAAAGGGTGATATTGACTTGCTTGAAATATTTTGATAATTGGCCTTGCTTGAAAGATTGCGTTAAGTTTCGAAAAGAACGAGATAGACAAGGTGCTCAAGTAAGAAATAAATTCTGAAGCTGTTACAAGTTGGTAATGGATCACCAAAAGGAGCCATCCTATTCCTATGTAGGGGTTTTTCATGTGTGGGTTGGTTTATTACAAACTGGAGTGTGCAGATTGGGAAGTTCTGTTCTTTGACGAAGATCATCTGAACCCTGGACAAACAAATTTTCAGTCATATAGACTGCCACATATGAAGTACCAAAAGCATAAATAGCATGTTTAGGGATCCAATATTGACCTTTGTTGAGTCTGGTCGTTGTGAATCCTGAAGCAACAGTAACTTCTTCCCTGTCTGTCATTTCTGTAGAGGAAGAGATCCTAGAGATCAGATCAGCAGCACTAGGGATGGGGAGACAAATATGTAGGGCAACAGTCACAGTTTCGTCATCAGTGGTACTAGAAAAACTCTCATCTTTTGCCTTGTTCTTGTCCTCATCCATGGCGCTGCAGGAGGACTCTTCTTCTTCATGCCCTAGATGGGCTTAAGCTAAGGAGGGGAAGAACTTCCCCAAGGGGAGGAGAGGGAGGCAGCGACTGATAGTGAATAAAGGAGTTGTTGTTGCTTCTTCTTCTGCTTAGATTATTGGGGTAATAGTTGTAACTTGTGAGCGTAAGGAGTATAATGAGATGGTTTGGAAAAGGTGGAGGAAGAAAAAATGGTGAAGAAAAGGATTGAAGTTGAACCAACCATTGAAGAAATTAGAGTAGGGTTCGGTCATGGTGAAAGGTGAGGAGAAAATTTGGGTAGATGAGTTGGTGAAGTTGAACCAACCACGGATGGACTTATGGGTGTCAAATGGCAAGACGATCAACACTGACGAATTTCTCCTCTCAGTGTTGCGAATAAGGTTCCTCTGTAGTATGTGAATAGGATTCCTCGGGAGCAAATGAGGGCGGCGACTTTCATCCTTTCATAAGCATTTCTTGTTTTTGGAGTGGTTTTTTGTATTTCAGATGGCCCGCGATGCATTGGATCAGACCTATTGCTAGCCACCTGCCAGGTAAGATTAGTGATTCCTGGGCTTTGGAATCACTACTATAAAGCTCAGTCATGGCTATTTCTTGATATTAAATATTCATTCTTTCTTTTTTTGATCAATAACACTTTCATTAAATCATCAATAGAAGATTTACAAGAGGAAGACAAACACACTTATCTTCCAAGAGCAACAAAGAATTTCAAGAAAAGGAAAAAACGGAAAAAACACTAAAGTTATAGCTTAGCCCAAAACAGTGAATCCCTTTCTGCCCCTTGTTTAGCTAAACCGTCATCTAGGGAATTAGCCGATCTTTTAACCCAATATATCTTAACTTCCATCTCCCGCACCAGCCACTTGAATTTCCTCCTCTCATTGTTGTATTTTCATAAGCCATTGTTATCTTTAATCAGCCACCCTATCACCACCTCTGAATCCCCTTCAATTATGAGTTTCCTGATGTTCAACTCCTTAGCTTTCTGGACTCCTTCCATAACTGCTCTAAGGGAGTCACCCACTCTAATTGGGCCTGAGAACATGGTAGAAATGACCCCATTCTCATCCCTAAAATCATCCTCAATCCTCGATTGTCCCGGATTTCCCCTACTACACCCATCAAAGTTTAATTTCAAGAATCCACCAGGTGGAGGGGTCCAAGACACTCATTATTGACTTGGTCTGTGTGTAATTTGCAATTTCACCCCACTTCCTCAACATGTCATCCATAGTGTAGTCTATGAATAGCTCCAAAGATTTCAGCCACTGTACAGCCCTAATATGTATGATAGCCCTCAAATTTGTTGCTCCTCTCTTAGCTTCTGAGAATATCTTGGAGTTTCTTTCTTCCCAAAGTGTCCAACATACTGCAGCCCTTAGTCCTCTCCACATAGTCCTTCCCCTTTTTATCCGCCACTTGAAAAAAGAAGAGGAAAAAATGCCCTGCAAGTCTGATGGAGGATTCCAACTACATTCAAATAGGGAGAAAGCCCAATCCCAAATTGACCTCGCAAAATGGAAAGACACCAATAGGTGAAAACCAGTCTCCCTATCCACTTTACAAAGAACACACCAATGGGGTGACAAGCAAGTATTGGGTCTCTTCTTTTGGAGTAGATCACCAGTGTTGATTCTTTCCAGTTAGGCTTCCCAACAAAAACTACCAACCCTAGGAGGTATTGCTCTGCACCAAACCTCATCAACAGGGAAAGGGGAGAAGTAGGACTGGTAGACTGACTTAAGACTTTGAATAAAGGAATACAAGAAAATATGCCATTGGGGGTAGGTGTCCAAATTATAGAATCCACCCTAGTGGGGTCTAAGACAACATTATCAAGAAGTGCAATAAGGTTCAAAATACTGTCGAAGTTTGAGTCCCTCAAATCCCTTCTTAGACCCAAGTTCCACCCAACCCTAGAAGTGGAAGAGGATGGGGTGGTGAAAGACGAGATTGACTCATTTTTCAAATCAGAAAGAGCATACAAAGAAGCAAACTGGTCCTTTAGAGGGGCACTCCCCACCCAGGTTTGTTCCCAAAATTTTATGGAGTTACCGGAATTCAAATCATACCTGATATTAGGGGAGAAAACTGGTAGCAGGTCATGAATGGCTTTCCAAGGAGAATTGCTTGTGATCCTAACTCTGATTCCAGCGTCCCATTCATTGTGCTCCAGCCCATGTATACTTGCCACTATTCTAGCCCATAGTTTTTCCTTCTCCATAAGGAACCTTCACAACCACTTTCCCAAAAGAGTCATATTCCTTCTCCTAATATTCACAAGCCCCAAACCACCAAAAGTGTTATTCCTACACACTATCTCCCAGCTAACTCCTAATATTCCCAAGCCCCAAACCACCATAGGAAATCTCTCATTAGCTTCTCCAATCTGTTAGAAACCTTCATTGGGATTTTAAACACCGACAGGAAAAAGATGGGTAAGTTAGCAAGCGTGGCCTTAATTAGTGTAATTCTCCCATCAAGGGAGAGGTAGTTCTTTTTCTAGGATACCAGTTTTTTTTCAAACCATTCCACCACCGGGTTCCAAAAGCTCTCTCTCATAGGGTTATCACCTAATGGCAACCCTAAGTAGTTCAAAGGCCACCCCCAGACTTCACACCCCAGCACTTTAGCACTCTCTCTGATCTCTCCCTCCTCTAAATTCACTCCCACTACACAGTTTTTCCCAAGGTTAACCTTCAAGTTGGACATTTGCTCAAACAGTTGTATCACCGATTTCAAGTTCCTGATAAAGCGCACATTACCGCCTTCACAAAACAGAATCGTGTCATCAGCAAACTGTAAGTGAGTGAGGGGGGTTTCCCCCCTCCCAACTCTCCAGCCTCTAATGAGCCCCCTAGAATTTGCTTTGTGAATCAGTTTCCCCAATACTTCCGCAATTAGAATGAACAAAAAAAGGAGAAATGGGGTCTCCTTGTCTTATACCCCTACTGGATGGAAAGAAATATACCACTGTCCCATTCACTAGCATTAAATAATGACAATTTCGGACACAACTCATGATCCACTTACACCATCTAGCCCCAAACCCAAATTTAGTCAAAACTTTCCTCAAGAAATCTCAGTCCACCAAGTCATAAGCCTTTTCCAAGTCCAACTTACAAACCACTCCCTTCTTCTTATCCCTCTTAAAGTTCTCCACACTCTCATTAGCAATTAAAATCTGATCAATAATTTGTCTTCCACTCACAAAGGCTCCTTGATAATGTGCAATGATATCTGGCAATACCTCATTCAGCCTCAAAGACAACACTTATGCAATGATATTATACAATTTATTAACCAAGCTAATTGGCCTAAAATCCTTCGGGTGGGATGCATCTTTCTTTTTTGGAATTAAGGCTATAAATGTAGAGTTCACACCCGGATTGACAATTCCTCCCCTGAAAAACTTCTCAAACACCTGCAATAGATCATCTTTCAAAATATCCCAACAGTCCTGATAAAAAGCCATTGTGAACCCATCCGACCCTGGAGCTTTTGTTCTATCCTTAGAAAACACAACCTCCTTGATCTCTTCCAAATTAAAGCTTCTTTCCAACCTTCTCCTATGCTCCACCCCTACATCTGGCCAATCCAATCCTTCTACCCACACCCTTCTACTCACAGGCCTTCTTAGAATAGATTTGAAGTGCTTCACACAAGCCCCGACTATCTCTTCTTGTTGTATTAACTCAACTCCATCTACTACCAATTTGGAGATAAGTTCTTCCTCCTCCTGCCATCTTTTAGAGAGTGGAAATACCTATTGTTTCTGTCTCTCTCTTGTAACCATTTACACCAAGATTTTTGCCTCCAGCTAATTTCTTCTTTGTGCAGGCAG